GAATCTGTTGGACTCCTGGCAGGGACCAATGCAGACATGTTCCTGTTTTTAGTTTTCTACATTCGCCTTAGAATCTAGCTGTTTTTTGTTACTTTTTTTTTAGTCATCCTATTTGTTAAAAAACAAAAAACTGTAGTATGACTTTTTTATAACTGTTTATTGTTGTTGCTGTTGTCCATTGTTGTCATCTTTCTTTGTTGAAATCAGGTCTCTCTTGTAAATGAGTCCTCGAGGCTCAATGAGATTTACCTGTCTAAATAAAGGTTGATTGAGAGCAATTTTGTACTGAATTCTGTAGGTGACAGGAAGCCAAAAGAGGTTATGAAGAATGGGTGTAATATGTTCAAATTTACGAGCTCTCAATAAAATCATGGCTTCACTGTTTTGAATATATTGAAGCTTTTGAAAGTTTTTGCCGGGTATTCCAGTAAACAGGGAGTTGCAGTAGTCGAGCCTGGAGGAGACAAAGGCATGAACGAGTTTCTCTGCATCAGCAAAAGTGAGAGACGGATGAAGTTTGGAGATATTTCGAAGATGGAAGAAACAGGTTTTAAACAGATGCTTAATGTGATTTTCAAATGTAAGATGAGAGTCCATTTTTATTTCAAGATTTGTAACAGAGGTGGAGAGGGGGATGTCTTGTCCAGAAAAGGAAATAGTCGTTATAGTTGAGGTTTTAACCTGGTGAGGGGTGCCAATCAGTATGGCCTCTGTTTTGGAGCAGTTTAACTGAAGAAAGTTCTGATTCATCCATGCCCTTATCTCCTCCAGGCAGGTAGAGAGGGCAGCGAGTGAAGATGGAGATGACAATGGTGAAGATGATGCTCCAGTCCTGATGTAAAGCTGTGTATCGTCAGCATAACGGTGAAAAGAAATGTTGTACTGTTTAATAATTTGACCTAAAGGCAGCATGTAAAGGGAAAATAGCAGGGGCCCTAGAACTGACCCTTGAGGGACACCACAGGAGACACAGACAGTCTGGGATTTGGCATTGCCAAGACTAACACATTCCAGCCTATTGGAAAGGAAAGATTTAAACCAGTCCAGGACAGTGTCACAGAGACCGACCTCCACATGAAGATGGTGGAGGAGGATACTATGATCCACAGTGTCGAAAGCTGCAGTGAGGTCAAAGAGAACAAGGAGGGAGGGAGAACCAGTGTCAGCAGCCATGAGGACATCATTGGTGACTCTCAGCAATGCTGTCTCAGTACTGTGAGCTGCACGGAAGCCATACTGAAACTTCTCATACACGGAGTCTTGTTGTAGGTGGATCCGCAGCTGAGCAGCAACTGCTTTTTCCAGCACTTTTGACAGAAATGGGAGGTGGGAAATTGGGCGGTAATTAGACAGAATTTCTGGATCCAAATAAGATTTTTTCAGAAGAGGCCTAATGATGGCAGTTTTAAGAGGCAGTGGAACTTGACCAGATTGCAGTGACTTATTTATTATTTGTGTGATTAATGGGCTTATTGCAGAGTGATTGGATTTAATGAGAGACGAGGGGAAGGGATCTAGGGCCCAGGATGAAGGTTTCATTTTCGTGATGATGGTCTCCACTTCACTCTGAACAACCTCATCAAAGCAGCTCAGGAACCCAGAATGCAGACGGGTAGATGGCAGATGAAGATCAGGGAGGCTATGGAGCTGAGATCTAATAGAGTTGACTGTTTTTAAAAAATAAAAGGAACAGGTTGCATTTTTGAACAGAGAACTCATGAGATTGTTTAATGGGATCAAGGAGATGATTTATTGTGGAGAAGAGTTGTTTAGAGTTTCCAGGGCAGTTGTTGATGATGTTAGAATAATATTTGGACCGTGCTTCTTTAAGAGAAAAGGCATAGGCTTTCTGATGTTCTTTATATGCCTGCTGATGTACAGAGAGACCAGATGATTTTACACGTCTCTCAATAGCACGGCCAGCTGCTTTCATTTTGCACAGCTCAGCAGTGTACCAAGGGGCTGAATGGGAGAAAGACACCAACCTTGCTTTAAAGGGAGCATGGAGGTCCAGAAGCTCCTGGAGAGATTGGTTGTAGTAATCCACAGAGTCATTTGCAGATGAATGATTGACTGCGGACAGGGAGTGGAGATCAGAGGACAGAACCTCAGGGGAAATGTTTTTAAAGTCACGGAACTGGATAAGTCGTTTAGGATTTGGAGCAAATGAAGATGAAGGCACTTCCAGGGAGATGACACTGTGGTCTGAGACACCCAGGTCATATACAGATAAGTTATTGATAGGTACAGTGTCTGTAATCACCAAATCCAGCGTGTGCCCCCTGTTGTTCGTAGGGGCGTCAACATATTGAATGAGATTGAGAGAGTCCAAAAGAGACTTAAACTCTGCTGCCAGAGGGGAAGAGGAAATATCAATGTGGATATTTAAATCTCCAAGAATAATATTTTTCACAGGAGATGTGCAGAAAAAAAGTGAGAAGGTCATGCATCTCTGAGTTAAATGAAACATGTGGTTTGGGAGGCCGATAAATCAATATAACATTCATCAGGCGGGGGGCTTTGAGGTTGAAGGCCAAACATTCAAAAGACGAAAAGTCCTGAGAAGCTAAATGTGATCATTTTAAATTACTGTGGTAAATTACAGCCAGACCACCACCACGGCCAGTGCAGCGGGCTTTCTGCAGGTAACTGTATCCAGAGGGACAGGCTTCATTCAGAGAGCTGTACACATCTGGTTGATGCCATGTTTCAGTAAGGCACATGAGGTCCAAATTCTTCTCCAGAATATGATCATGAATAAGACATGATTTATTGGACAGTGATTGAGCATTGAAAATTTCTATTTTAATACTGGTTGGAGTAGAAGCCTTTAGAAGAGGTTTAAGCAACCTGAAGTCCACTCCACATTTTCCTTGCCACTTCGTGCGCTGTGTTCTTTCAGCAATATCAGGGACTACAGAGGCAGCGTTCTGATGACGTAATTGATGTGCGGCAGGACTGGTAGACCAGATGGAAGGGATGGAGTCATACCCAGCTTGCTGCGAGTAAACAGTTCTCTTCCGAGAGCCTCTATGGACATAATGAGGTCTACGCAGAAGGCCCAGTTGTTTAATGATAGAAACAGAAGGTGGGATGGAGCAGTTGTTACGTCCAATCAGCTGGGAGGCGGAGTAGGTCAACATCGACAAGCCAGCCAAGCCGGGGAAGCTAGCACAGAGCTAGCTGCTAACAGCAGACCCACAGCTTCGAAAAAAAATATCCAAAAAGCAGTGCTATGTAATCCACAGCATAGCACAGGAAAAAAATCCAGCAAAAGATGACAACAACTGGAACAATCCAGACGACACAGAAGGTTGACAGTGGCAGCAAGGTAAGCGCAACAATAATAGTTGCTAGTTCTTCAAGCAAAGACGGAGCTGCCGTGCTGGAGTTGTAGGTTGACAGCAATAGTCCCAAATTCCGGTTAGGGAGTGCTAATAAGCTGTCTGTATAAGTACTGTTTGCCAAATTACTGGACAAAAAATAAGTCCAGATAAATGTCCACGAATATAGCAACAGTATAATGACTTTTTAGCGCGGAGAAGCGGCAAACATACAGCGCCAAACATACAGCGCCAGCGTCCTCTCCTCTCACCGTCTACCTGGATGCTGTGCTCGAGTGCCTGACCAGATCGTCCCCTGGCACCTGCAGTTAAGTCTGCAGCGACGAGGGGCTCGGCAGGCTGCTGCAAGAAATGGCCATTGCACAGGGAGGAGTTCTGCCGGCATTCAGGCAGTCCTGCTGCCCAAGAAGACAAGAAGCCTACAGGGTCTGGGTGGACAAATCGGCATCTGCAGCCATTTTCTTCAGATCCGCTATGGGACGGACTGCTACAAGAAATCCTTCCTGCCCAAAACATCAGCATCTATAACAACTCTAATGAAACCAAGATGATGAGCTACAACAAATAATTTCCCTTTGGGATTAATAAAGTATTTTTGAATTTGCAAGTCAAATGTTTGTCATGAGCAACATTCCAACTTTTCATGCCTTGCTGAGGAACTTTATGTATAAATTTATGTACCGCTTGGATGTATCAAACAACTTAATAGTAAGAGCTTTGTCAAATGCAACATATAGTGATACTAGATATACCTCAAGCTTTTTAAAATATTGGAATAACTGTTTGTCTGCTTTGTGATGGATGTGTTTGTCTTTTTTACTTGATGATTTGTTTTATTTTATTTTATTTGGTATGAATTACTTTTTATCTAAAGATAATAAAGATTAATATACCAGCTGGGTATCGGATGACTGGCACTGCATACATGTCGATGGCTCTGACTTTGTTCTTGCCATTCAGCTGGCTCTTCAAGGCCTGCCTTACTGTCTGTAGGTACTTGGTTGTGGCTAACTTTCTTGCGGCCTCATCCTCATCATGATTTGCACCTTCAGATGCAGGAAGAGAGCCACCTGCATCATTAAGGATCCCACTCACCCAGCACACACACTTTTTGCCCCACTCCCCTCAGGAAAGAGGTTGAGGAGCATTAAGTCTACAACCACTAGAGTGAGGAACAGCTTCTACCCTGAAGCTGTTAAACTCATGAATATCTAACCAGGATAATCACTGTGAAAATCACATCGTGTTGCTACTGATCTGTTTCATGTTGCGGCTGATTTGTTTCATGTTGCTGCTGATCTGTTTCTTGTTGCTCCTGATCTGTTTCATGTTGCTGTGTTCATGAGTGCTCATCTGCTCACACAGACTCATGTTCATGCTGCTGTTTGACATAATGTTTTTTATGTTATGAGTGCTTAGTGTGTATTTAGTTGATGTTATTCTTAGTTCATATCTTAGATCGTATTACAGTTTTTCTTTTACACTTTATTGTTGGATGTAACTGGGACCCTATGTACATAATCTCGTTCCACCACATGTACCACATGTGGTGTGTATGACAAATAAATCTCTCTGACTCTTATGAATGTCATGAGTTGAGATTAAATCTTGTTGAGATGCTTTCCTTCCATTAAATCAATACATTGTTTTACTCACCTTTTCTCCATCCAGCAGCAGGTGGACTTTGAAGGTCATACAGTCATTCACTGCAATCTCCTCATTTCTATAAAGGATCTGAATGATCCGGCTGAAGACAGTGCTGTCATACACACTTGCTGAGCTGAAGCTGCATTCTCCTGGTGTGATAGACACAACAAAACACAATTACCAAGAGTTTACTTTTCAAATAAACACATAAATCTAACAAGTACAATAAAATAGGCAAAAAGGAGACTAAAACAAGAAACCAACACAACCTCACAAATCTGATGGAACTCAAATTGAACTAGAACAATTGGTACGCCGATCGATGTCTTCCCATCCCTAAGGGATTTACGTAAGTAGTGAATGTTTGTAGTTTTGAGATGAGTGTTTTTATTGACTGGAATTAAACAGGAAATATCAAAAGATATTCACATGGGTAGGAGTTACATTGTGTCTAAAAGAAGAGATAGCTTTTTTTTTTCTTGTCTAAGGCAGCACAGAGTGACGGATTCTGGCAAGTAGAGGGAGAAATCTGATCCATCACCAGGCACAATGGTGGAACCAGGGGTGACAAATGGTGGCCTTGGCCCCCATAGATTATTCTTCAGCCACCCCACTCATTTGAGGAAAGTATAATTTTAATCAATTTAAAAACTGGAAAGCATAGTTTCCACAAATGATTGGGGTGGTCGATTTTATTATATGTATACCTTTCTTATGCCTAGATACAGCCACACACCAAAATGGAAGTCAGTACCACATCTATATTTCAAATTTTCATGTTCACAACACAAACATTTATGGTGGCAGCCACCTTGGATTCTGACGTGGCAACCCAATGTTCGAAAGGAAACTTTCTTTCACACAGATGTATCCACACAACACAATGGAAGTCGGTATCACACTCATTTTTAAAGTTATTATGCACACAGCATGCACGGACAGAGAGACGGATGGAGGGCATTTCCAAATCCCCTTCTTTGCTTCTCGATGGGGGAACAATTAAAAGCCAGTGTAAAAAGGTGAGTAATCAGGCAGGATTTAAAAGACTGTACAAATTTCTCCATACAATTACACTGCCTGGCCAAAAAAAAGTCGCTACCTGGATTTAACTAAGCAAATAGGTACGAGCCTCCTATTGGATAATTACTGCATGGGCAATTATATTTCAGATGGCAACAAGTTATTTAACCCCAACTGGTGAAATGAGTTGCTTCTTATTTCTTAAAAAAACATGTTGAAAGACACATTGCGTGGTTGTGGAAATTAAATTCAATTCAATTCAAAAATACTTTATCAATCCCAGAGGGAAATTATATGTTGTGGTAACTCATCATCCTGGTTTCATTAATGAGTTGTTATAGATGCTGATGGCTGTGAGCAGGAAGGATCTCTTGTAGCGGTCTGTCCTACAACGGATCTGAAGAAGCCTCTGACTGAAGACACTTTGTTGTTGTATGACAGTCTGATGAAGAGGATGTTGAGGGTTGTCTATAATGTTGTTCATTTTATGAAGAATCCTTCTTTGTACAATCATCTCCAAAGGTTCTAGAGGGTCCCCAGAACTGAGCCAGCCTTCTTTATGAGCTTGTTGATCTTTTTTAAGTCACTTGCTCTGGTGCTGCTACCCCAGCAGATGATGGCAGAAGAGATAGTGCTCTCTACAACAGACTTATAGAAGATATGCAGCATCTTGCTGCAAACGTTGAAGGACTTCAGCTTCCTCAAGAAGTACAGTCTGCTCTGTCCCTTCTTATAGACGGCTTCACTATTGCATTTCCAGTCCAGTCTATTGTCCAGGTGAACTCCAAGGTATTTATACTTCTCCACCACCTCCACTTCTTCTCCCATGATGGAAATAGGGTTGGACCTGTTCCTGATTCTCATGAAATCTACAATCATCTTCTTTGTTTTGTTCACATTCAAGATGAGATGATTGTTTCCACACCATGCCACAAAGCGGTCCACCAGTTCCCTGTACTCAGCTTCTTGTCCATCTCTGATACACCCGACTACTGCAGAGTCATCTGAATATTTCTGCAGATGACAGGAGTCTGTTTTGTACTGGAAATCTGAGGTGTACAGAGTGAAAAGGAATGGTGAGAGTACAGTCCCCTGTGGTGCTCCTGAGCTACTGACCACCTGGTTAGACACACAACCCTTCAGTCTCACAAACTGTGGTCTGTTTGTCAGGTAGTCTTTGATCCAGGCGATTGTTGAGGCCTCCACCTGAGTCTTCTGAAGTTTCTGACAAAGCAAATCAGGCTGGATTGTGTTAAATGCACTGGAGAAATCAAAGAACATGACTCTCGCAGTGCTGTCTGCCTTTTCTAGATGACAGTGAGTTTGCTGAAGCAGGTGTATGATGGCATCTTCAACTCCAAGTCCACGCTGATAAGCAAACTGCTGTGGGTCCTGATATGTGCTTGTTTGTCTAGTCAGGTGGGTCAACAGAAGTCTCTCTAGGACCTTCATGATGTGGGATGTCAGGGCAACAGGTCTATAGTCATTGAGGGCTGATGGGTGAGTTTTATTTGGCACTGGAACAAGACAGGATGTTTTCCACAACACTGGAACCTTCTCCTGGGTCAGGCTAAGGTTGAAGAGATGCTGCTGAACCCCACAGAGCTGCTCTGCACAGACCTTCAGGACTCTGGGACTGACACCATCTGGACCTGCAGCCTTATTCTGGTTCAGTCTCTCCAGCTGCTTCCTCACCTGACTTCTGGAGAAGCAGAGGGGGGGAGGCAAAGGAGGTATCAGCATCTTCTGATTTGGTTGAAGACCAATATGTAGAAGAAGGGTCCATGACCCTTGTGGGGGAGTGGTGGCGCAGAGGTTAGAAGATGGGCTTGTGATCGGAAAGTCGTAGGTTCACCTCCCAGTACCATCAAAATCAAAATGTGGGTGGAAAAGGTGAAACACTCACACCTCCCTCCACCCTCATTCGCTCCACTCTGGGCCCCTGAGCATGGCCCTCAACCCACACCATCTGCTCCCTAAAACAGGTCTCTCTTGAAAATGAGTTCTCGTGGCTCAATGAGACTACCTGGATAAATAAAGGCTAAATGAAAAAAAAAATGACTGAGGTGGTAGATACAATATGTGAGGTGTGACAGGACAGACTTGGGTCAATGGAGGGTGGTATGTATGTTTGGCTGTGGGCAAGAGAGGAGGATGCTGAGCTTGTTCCTGAACTGAACCTATTGAAGAATGTGTTCAGTTAATTGGCTCTGTCCAGGCTTCCATCCTTCTGATCCTCCTTCTGCTTGAAGCCTGTGATCTGTTTCATCCCTGACCACACCTCTCTGATATTGTTCTGTTGGAGCTTGCTCTCCAGCCTCTTCTTGTACACCTCCAAGATGTTTCTTATCTTGACTTTAATTGCTTCTGTGTACTCTTCAATAATTCCCTGTCTCCCTCCCTGAAGGCTATTTTTTCTGGTTTAGCAGTTCCTTCAGGTCAGTGGTGAGCCAGGCTTTGTTACTGGGGAAGCATCTCACTGTTCTGGTGGGGATGGTGTTGTTTACACAGAAGTTTATATAGTCGGTCCACACTCAGTCATGGCATTGATGTCCTCTCCATGTGGCTGACACAGTGCATCCCAGTCTGTAGCCTCAAAACAACCCCGCAGGGCTTCTTCAGCTTCCGTTGACCATTTTCTCACTGTTCTCTTTATTGCAGGTTGCCTCTGAACAAGGGGTTTATATTTTGAGCAGAGAAACACAAGATTGTGATCTGATTTGCCAAGAGGGGGTCTTGCTTTAGAGATGTATGAATCCTTGACATTTGCATAAAACAAGTCCAGCGTTTTGTTTTCTCTGGTACAGCAGCTGACAAACTGTTCGAATGTCGGAAGTGTAGCAGAGAGAGGCATGATTAAAATCCCCAGATATTGCAACAAACGCACTATGGTGTTGTGTCTGTAGCTTAGCAACCTCGGAGTTGATGACATCACACACAGTCTCGGCAACAGCATTGAGTTTAATGTAAACAGTTGCCAAAATAACAATGGTGAACTCTCTTGGCAAATAATATGGACGACAACTTAGCGCTAACAGTTCAATATCTGGACTGCAGAGACGACACTTCACAGTAACATGTCCAGGATTACACCATCTGTTGTTCACAAGCACTGTCAACCCACCTCCTTTCCTTTTGCCACTCCTCTTTAAATCTCTATCTGCTCGTATGGTCAGAAAGCCTGGCAAGGAAACGCTGGAGTCGGGGATATGATCCTGCAGCCATGTCTCAGTGAAACACATAATACTGCATTTCCGATACTCTGGATGGGTCTTTGTTAGGGCTTGAAGTTCATCCAACTCGTTTCCCAGCGATCTCACATTGCCCATCATAATTGATGGAAGAGATGGTTTAAACTGCATTCTTCTCTCTTTCTCCCTCTTCTTTGCTCCTGCTCTGCATCCACGACGCCTCCTTTTCAACTCATTTGGGATTTGAGGCTGTAGTTGAGATATTATTTGAGCTTTGGAGATGTTAATCAGCTGCTCCCAGTTGTAAAAAACCTTGTTGTTATGGTTACGCATCATAACAAATGTCCAAAAGCAAAGATATTTCTGTAAAAATCCTTCCAGCTGCACAGCATCCAACACCAGAGGAAATAATCATCCAAAAAAAAGTGATTTATATCCAGAAAAAAGAGGAATTTAAGTTTTCAAAAGTAATATCTCAGAATGAAAGTAACAGAGCTACTCCAACATGCAGCCATCTTGAGCGGTGTAATTCTAGAACTAGGAAAAGATGTCAGTCTGTTTGAGAAGGGTCAAATCATTGGCATCAAGCAAGCAAGAGAAAACATCTGAGGAGATTTCCTGATGCATGCTCAATAATCCAGGTAGAAAAATCCAAAAAAGTTCAATCTGGTCCTCTGGACACTTATGAACCTCTGAAAAGAGATCCAGGAAGTGGTTACAAGAAGAAGTTAATAGATTGCCTGAAAAATTTGGAGCAGGACAAGGCTATTGACCGTATTCTGTACCACAGACTGTACCCAGGGGAGGCCACACCTAGTCTGTATGGTTTACCTAAAATCCACAAACAAGGTGTACCTTTAAGACCTATTGGTAGCATGATTAACTCTGTCACTTACAATGTTTCCAAATATCTGGCGTCTGTACTCATCCCTTTAGTT